GGGCCTCCACCACCGAGCTCCATCCCGAATGAGTTAAGAACCCTCCAACCGAGTCATGATTCATTATCTTCAGCTGAGGTGCCCAGCTTGTACATATCACCCCGCGCCCTCTCGTCCTCTCTTCGAACCCTTCCGGCAGCTTCGTCACTTCCGCATCCGCGGAGCCGCGTTGTTTCCTGTAAACCCAGAAGAATGGTAGCTGGGAAAGCTCTAACCCCAGAGCTATCTCTACCACTTCTTCCTGATTCGGCTTTGTTTCGCTCCCAAAAGCTATGTACACTACTGAACCTGAGACCACACACGTATTAGTATAACCAAATTAATTAAATATAATTGAGGGATCACATTTTCTCCCAATATAATTGTAGGTGGTGAATAAGTCCATACACAAACTAAATTTTAATTTAAATTTCAACCAAATTTTTGGTACGAAACCAAAACTAATACGAAGTATATATAACGAAAAAGAGTTTTGAAAATGTTTTCAAGATTTACACTACATCATGCGAGAAAGTCTCTATATTATACAAATTAACGTGCCTTCACTACTCAAAGTCAAGTCACAAGGTTAAGTATGTGCTGGAGTATTTAAGGCTGGTTGGTGCTAGGAGGAAATTATTGGACGGAGGCAGGTAAGGGTCAAATTTAGCACCATGTGCAGAAGCCAGTAAAGAATAAAGGTGATGTGTGGCTAAAAGCACTTAGCTTGATCTAACCTAACCAAATTATGTAAAATTAAAGAAAATGTAAAATTAAACCTTTTTGTTGCTTGTCTAGCCACTCCTTGATTTCAAGCCAAGCTGCTTTCTTGTCATCGTCTTCCTCATCATCATAAGCTGTGGTGGGCAGCAACCCAACCGGGATGGTAGGTTTTCCAAAAACATCTTCTGTTAATTGCAGCCACTCCGGCTCGAGTTCGTAACAGCTCCTCACGAACACAGCACTGGCGCCTTTCACGGTAACAGCGGCGCGATAAACGTCGGAAACGTTGCCACCATCGATATAAAGGTCGTTGAACATCCGCTCTATCTCGAAATAACGAGGCATGATCTTGGTCTCAAACGGAACCCACTTGGGTTTGGACGTCAAATGCTTTGCCGCCTCGACTCGATAATCTACACCGTCGATAATTGCCGATGGAGGGCCTATGATGATGTTAAGGCAGGAAGCTGAAAATATGCTGAAATACACGTTGGGGATGCTCAGCTTTTCCATGATAGGAACTAACCGAAACGAAGCGAAATCGTGAATTACCCAATCTGGGGAAAGTGTTTGCAGAAAAGCAGCCATGGAGTCTTGGAGCTCATCGAAGGCAATCTTGAGGTACCTCACCTTGTCATAAGGTAAGTCCAAGGTGGACTCTGCATCTTCTGGGAGATTTTCGACTTGCGGCAAAGGTAATCCGATGAGATCTATGCTGGGTACGAGGTGTGGGTGCAATTTGGGGAGGCGCTGGATATTTCTGAGAGTGGACACAAAGGAAATCTTGTTGCCTCTCTGAGCTAAGAGCTTAGCTAGCTCCAAGTATGGAATAATGTGTCCGAAGGCTAACCATGGGAGCATCACGATGTGAAGTGCACTATTCTCATTCGCCATGGCTGAGAACTATTAAGAAATAAGGAGTAAATCTTGAGAAAATTCAAAGTCAGAACCTTTTTGTGATTCTCACTTCTCAGTATCCTTTTAATCTACTCCGGGTGACATCTTCACTACAAGTATATAGACAATCCTCGTACTGTGGACTAGGTAGGCCGTCATTTTCAATTTAATTACTTTTGATGGCTAACATTTGGTTATTCCGATACTTTTCTTCTTTTCTTTTTTTTTTTTTAAAAAAAAAAAAATTATAAAATATGTGTATGTGTCTTAATTTTTTGTGTTCATTTTCCACAATATATTTTGCTGATTAGCCGATAAATCTTTTATTATATCAATATAAACAAGAGATTTTGCATTTTTACCCAATGAACTTCTCCCCCCCCCCCCCCCCCCCCCCCCCCGCCATACCTTCCAAATATAAAAATATCAAAATTAAATATTAGAATTAATTATACATGCACCTAACAATTCTTATTTAATTAGGTTCATTTCATTTTTTTTTTCCACTTGAGTTTATCTTTTTGCACAAATAAAACTAATGTATAAAAAATATATCATTAAAAAGCTCTAATTAAGATCTTTTAAATGACATCCATATTGATATAGTTTTTTATTTTTATTTTTTAAATAAATTTATAGGTACATAAAGTCATTACTTTAGTTTAATATTTATATACATTAAATTTTGTTTTTATTAACATATAGAAATAGAAATAACATTATGAACCTACTATAAAATTAATAGAAATACATATGGTGTATATTTAGTTTAGCATTTTTGGACATTACAAAAATATGGAGGAGACGGAAGAGATACGCAATGAGCTGCGAAACAATTGATAATGGGTATTTAGAGTTTCATACGGGTAAGTTGTAGCATTTATGCGCAATCATTATTGTGTGGACCATGGTCCACACAAACTGTATAGATCATATTTTGTATGCTGTAAAATAATGTACATTCAGTACAAAAATAATGTATTTTTAATATATTAAAAATGTACATTGTATTCAGGGGATGTACATTATTTGTGTAATGAATGTACATTATACAATATAATGTACACTTAGTATACAAATAATATACATTTAGTATATTAAAAATGTATTTCGTTATAGTCCACACGACATAATTTGCCATTTATAGGATGGGTTGTTGGGTTTGGGTTAGTTGGGCTGGACCGGTTTTGGGTCATAGTTTATATTGGGCTGGATTTTAATATTGTAATAGTACACATATTATTGGAATGGGCTGGATTTAAATATTATGTCTAGTTATTTCTTTTATCAAAATTTATAACTTGAACCTTAACATGTACTCCGTAAATATTTTGTAAAAGTTTTTTATTTTAAATAGCATAAAGATTATTATTTTACATAAAATTTAGAATTAATTTCACTTTTGGTCCCACGATTTTTGAGTTCTTATCACTTTTGGTGCACAACTTTACATTTTTTCAATTTTGGTGCCTAACTTTGTTATTTTTATCAGTTTAGGTCCTTCTAGCCAAATTGACGGTAAAATATTTCCAGATTTTATATTTTAGGGGCAAAATCGTTATCCCATGGAAAGATCTTCAATATTTAAACAAAAGAAAAATCATATTAAGAGGAAAAGATGAGTTTGCCAATGGTCGAAACTATAAATCCCATAGATCTGTCTGGTTTCTGCCCATCTTCCCCATTATTCTCATCATCAAACACTTATAGATATGATTTTACGGTGATTTTGTTTAGATATTGAAGATGTTTCCTTGGGATGACGATTTTACCCCTAACAATATAAAATCCAACAACATTTCACTGTCAATTTGGCCGAAAGGACCAAAATTGATAAAAATAACAAAGTTAGGCACCAAATTAAAAAATTTTAAAGTTGTGCACCAAAAGTGATAGAATATCAAAAGTCGTGGGACCAAAAGTGAAATTAATTCTATAATTTATATATGTAAAAATAATTGTTTTATAATAATGTGTGTGTTTTTTGTTTTTTTTTTTTTTGTTTTTTTTTTTTTTTGTTGTTTTATAATGTGTGTTTAAATTTTTTGAATGTTACTGGCTCTATTACAATGTAGTATCTGTTCATAATGCGTGTTTAAATGATCTTGAGAACAATCTTTAAAATTTTAAATTTAAATAAATATATGATAGAGTTTAATTCTTTTAAAAAATTTTAGAATTTAAATTCAAATTGTATAATTCTATTTATAATAGTATTTTCATTCTTTTAAACATAATATAATTTAGGTAATTTTAAAATTTTAAACATTTCTACAAACATAGCTAAGAACTGTTAATGTTGGGCAGCTCAATTAGTCATAGAGGTAAAAAATTGAGAGAATAACTAGTGATCAAGTCTCACAAACGATGGTGAGGGGGTTCCTCATTGTGTGCGGTGATGTAACCTTTTATTTATAACACGATTTAGACAAGTATATAGACAATCCTTGTACTGTGGACTAGGTACGAGGTCATTTTCCATTTACTTTTGATAGCGAATGTTTGGTTATTACGCTATATTTTTTAAAAAATATTATAAAGTATATGTATATGTATGTGTCTTGTGTGGTAAGCTTTTGTGTCTTGTATTTTAAAATTCTATACTTTAAAAGTATTAATTCTATATCTGAATCAAGTTTTTTTTTTTTAAAGGTACCTGAATCAAGTTAGTAGTTGTGTAACACACAACATATTGTGTATCTTATTTTATGAATTTATATTATATCTTGCATTGTGTTGTGAAATTTTATGCTTTTAAAAATAGATTAGATTAGTAGGATATAGTATAAATAGTAAATGATTTGTAAATTGTGTGATGTGGAAGTGAAATTTAATTTTAAAAGTTAGAGAGATTTAAAGGGATAAGAATATCGGTTATTCAGTGACCGCAGTTATTATACCTTTATAAGATAAATAACTGAATAACTGAAATTTTTTCTAGCTTTATAACCAACAACTGATCGATAATCAAAATTATCAATCGATTTTGCAGATTATCAATTTTGTCGATTTTTCGGTTTATGCTCACCCCTAGGATTGTCCGAGTAAAAATAAACATATAAATCCAAAGAAGAAACATGATTGAAAAATGTGTCTAACACGTGATTCAGGACCACATAAAACTCATTGGATCTCTCACTTTTAATTTTGTCGATAATAAATTATTATATCTGTTTTCTAGCCTTATCGTTTGATAATAATTTTGTGTGAATAGATCTCCCATCATTTTACGATTACGCAATCCTTAATTTCAGTGTTTCTATTATTTCTTTTTAAGTAATTATATTTGTGCTCTGTTTGGTAGAGCTTATTTAAGAGTTTTTAATTTATTTTAAGTTATTAATATTTTATTTGATAATATTTTTAAAATAAGCGAGTAACTTAAAATAAAATAATTAAAATATTTAATTATTCCATTTTATTCATTTTACAAAAAATAACTAAACACAAGACAGTTTTCTAAAATAAACTATTTTCTAAAAAAAAAAATTATTATAAGGAAGAAGGATACGCTACATATACATATTATCAGATTTGAACCTATCATCCCCTACTTAGGGAAGTAACCGGGTATCAGTGAACCATAAGGTCCTGGATATAGATCGGAACATTGAACACATACGTACTGTCCTAATTTTTGTGGGAACCACTTGGGTGATGAATGGTCGATGCAGCATGAAGATAATCCAACAACTTATTGACGTAATTATCTTGTTTCTCCTTCTCAAACAACTTGGCCTTCATCTTCTTCACCTTTTCTGCGAAAACCTTTCCATGCTCCTCCACCATTACCACTCTCAGTGAGTCAGCCACCGAGTCTCTAGAAAACGATCCACCATTCTCATCTCTCGCTATTGCATACCCCATTTCCTTCTCCACCAGCAGCCTTGTAATAATCCCCTGGTCCCGCAAGAAAGGGCGCATAATCAGCTTTTTCTCAAATTTCAGGGCCTCCACCACCGAGCTCCATCCCGAGTGAGTCAAGAACCCTCCCACCGAGTCATGACTCAGTATCTTGAGCTGAGGTGCCCAGCTTGTACATATCACCCCGCGCCCTCTCGTCCTCTCTTCGAACCCTTCTGGCAACTTCGTCACTTCCGCATCCGCGGAGCCGCGTTGATTCCTGTAAACCCAGAAGAATGGTAGCTGGGAAAGCTCTAACCCCAGAGCTATCTCTACCACTTGTTCCTGATTCGGCTTTGTTTCGCTCCCAAAAGCTACGTACACTACTGAACCTGAGACCACACAGTACAGAATCGTATAACCAAATTAATTATGTAAAGGATCGAAAATCTTAATTTAATTAAATTTCCAAATTAAAATCAAACCTTTTTCTTGCTTGTCTAGCCATTCCTTGATATCAAGCCAAGCTGCTTTCTTGTCATCGTCTTCCTCATCATCATAAGCTGTGGTGGGCAGCAACCCAACCGGGATGGTGGGTTTTCCAACAAGATCTTCTGCTAATTGCAGCCACTCAGGCTCGAGTTCGTAACAGCTCCTAACGAACATAGCACTGGCGCCTTTCACGGTAACAGCTAAGCGATAAAGGTCGGAGACATTGCCGCCGTCGATGCACACACGCTTTATCTCGAAATAACGAGGCATGATTGTGGTCTCAAACGGAACCCACCTGGGCTCGACTGGATAATCTTCACCGTCAATAACCGGCGACTGAAGGCAGAAGTTTGAGACAGTAGACGCTGTAAATATGCTGAAATACACGCTGGGGATGCTCAGCTTTTCCATGATAGGAACTAACCGAAACGAAGCGAAATCGTGAATTACCCAATCTGGGGAAAGTGTTTGCAGAAAAGCAGCCATGGAGTCTTGGAGCTCATCGAAGGCAATCTTGAGGTACCTCACTTTGTCATAAGGTAAGTCAAAGGTGGACTCTGCATCTTCTGGGAGATTTTCGACTTGCGGCAAAGGTAATCCGATGAGATCTATGTTGGGTACGAGGTGTGGGTGCAATTTGGGTAAGCGCTGGATATTTCTGGGAGTGGACACAAAGGAAATCTTGTTGCCTCTCTCAGCTAAGAGTTTAGCCAGCTCCAAGTATGGAATAATGTGTCCAAAGGCTAACCATGGGAGCATCACGATGTGAAGTGTACTTCTCTCACTCGCCATGGCTGAGAACTGTTAAGAAATAAATCTTAGGAAAATGCAAAGTCAATACCTATTTGTAATTCTCACTGCTCACTATCCTTTTAATCTACTCTGGGTGGAATCTTCACTACAATTCCCAAGGTGATGAGTCATGACTCATGAGTGGCACCTTTAAGTTTATTTATTTATTTATAACACGATTTAGACAAGTATATACAATGTTTAGGATTTCACCAATTTAGTCATCAATCACTAAAATTTCTCAATTTAATCCTCAATTATGTTATTTTTATTTGATTTGGTCCTATAGTCAAACCAATGTTTTTAAAGCAATAAAATTGAGGACTGTAATTGCATTATTTTATTTCCCTTCTGGGTTGTCCATTTTCATCTCCATGCTTTGCCTAATTTCAGACACACAAAATCTTCTCATTCTAGAATTCCTAAATTCCCAAATATCAAGAATCGGAGAAATTCCAAAGAGACAAAATCTGAAAACGAAAGCACAAAAATTTTGGGTAATTTAAAGAGACGAACTAAGAGAGAGTGCAGTGAATAAAAACACATCTCCTGGGTTAGATATTCTCCAAATCATGAACTCTGGGTTCAACATTTCTAATCTTATCTCATTGTCAATTCCCGTTCTAGGAATCCGCAGATTTACTTAATTCAAGAGTCAATACTTGAAAATTGTAAATTTCGGAAAGAAAAAAGTGCAAAATTATTATCAGGAGATTTAGAGAAAGATCCAATCTTTGCGCACTCCAAATTCTACAACCAGTCAACCCAAGAGAAATAATATAGTACCTTTGAAATGATGGGGGGTTGAGGTCGGCGTTGAAGAGGAAATGGTGGAAATCATCCAGATCAGAGCGAGATTGCGACGAGTTAACTTGGAAATGGGGTGGCGTTTGAGGAGGATCTGCTGGACGATCGCTTCGGCCTCAGCGAGGGTGGCCTCCTTTTATCCCTGCTCCTCTGTCAAGAATCGCAACAGCTGCTCCAAGCTCATCTGGCTCCCTTCCTCCGCATACTTCTTAAACGCCTCCTTCACGTCCGCCACCGGCTGCGCCTCCGTCACCTTAAACTTCATCTTGAAACACATATATAGTCGGGTTAGACCAAACAAATGAATTAGAGTTAGGGAAGAAGAAGAGGTTTTTTTTTTTTTTTTTTTAATTTCCAATTTGCCCTTTTAGTTTGACTGGTAAATTACACTGAGGATCAAATCGAGTAAAAATGACATAGTTGAGGACCAAATTGAGGAATTTTGGTAGTTGATGACCAAATTGGTGAAATACTCATAGTTGAGGGACCAAATTGGTAATTAACTCTAATGTTATGTTATGTAATGACAATAAATAAGAGTCAAGGTTAAAGTCTTTCGAATCTTGAATTACTTTCGAATAAACATGTTTTTGTACCAAGACAACTGTGTGGCTCTCTCTATCTAGAGTTATCAACCCTAAAACTCTTATATTGTTATTTTAGGTCAAAACGGAGAGTAATTTTCTTCAACTAACGACAAATGTTATGTACAAGAAAGTTTTTAACAATTTGTAAATCCATAGAATTTGTTTACTTGATTATGCTATATTGGATTATGAGATGTATGTAAGTATCATTTTGATTTTTTTTTTCCTTTTTATTTTTAGGATTAATGCTAACAGGCTAATTATGCTTTGCTTGAAATTGAAAAGTTTATAAGTGCATAGGGAAATTAAAGAGTTTGTCTTGCTTTCCTTCTATGCCTATACCAGATAGTCAGATACCAGTTGCTCAGCTTTGCATGGAAATCAATTGTTGTATGAGGAATTGTCATATGATTGTGATGCTCTTAAGGTTGAACATGATAATTTGGTTAGAAAACTTACAGATGAACAACGACATGTCTATGACATAAGTCTTGGTGAAGTTGCAGTTGAATTGCTAGCGGTGGTTTTTTTTTTTTTTTTTTTTTTTTTTTTTTTTGTTTACATACCACGGAATTTCTCAACACTTTGAGATGCTTAGGTATTCCAAATCATTGTCTTAGCTTGCAAGTTGGATATGTAGTTATGCTTTAGCGGAACATTATCCATACTCTTGGTTTGTGCAATGCAGTATGAGATTGGTCATTACTAAATTGGGAGATCATGTTGTTGAAGCGAAAGTAATGTCAGGAAGTAGTATGGATACACGGGTTTTAATTCCAAAATTGTCATTGACATTATTGGATCTTTGATTGCCATTTAAGTTTCAAAAGAGTCAATTAACTCTAACGGATGTTGTCTTATACAATGACAATAAATAAGAGCCAAGGACAAAGTCTTACAAACGTTGGTTTACTTTTGAAACAAACATGTTATTTTAGTACATGACCAGTTGTATGTGACTTTGTATCTAGAGTTAACAACTCAAATGATCTTAAAGTGATGATTTTAACTAAGAATATATATAATTATTTTAATTTATGTTCATGTCTACTCATATTTATGACTTTGGTAAGTTTAATATTGTTTTGAAACATTTTGTACTTCATATTTCGCATTAAATAATTATATGTATGTTTTCTGTGTATTAATAATTCAATATTTAATTATAATATAGTTTAATTTTCATTCATGCATTGCATGGGTAGAATCTAGTAAGCATATATAATTCCAAAGAAGAAACATGACTGAAAAATGTGTCAAACACGTGATTCAGAACCAAACAAACTCAGAATATCTCTCATTCCGAGGAAAATGATAAATCTTAACTTTTTTTGGTTAAAAAAAAATTAAAAACTTTATTTGGAATTTCTAAAAATTATTTCAATAAAATTTAAAAAAAAAACAGTAAAAAAAAAATGCACATTAAATGCATTTATTATAGACCAGAACATTTTTTTTTTTTGGTAGGGATTATAGACCAGAACATTGAACACGTACGTACTGTACTTAATTTTTGTTGGAACCACTTGGCTGATACATGGTCGGTGCATGAAGATAATCCAACAACTTATTAACGTAATTATCTTGTCTCTCCTTGTCAAACAATTTGGCCTTCATCTTCTTCACCTTTTCTGCGAATACATTTCCATGCTCCTCCACCATTACCACTCTCAGTGACTCAGCCACCGAGTCTCTAGAAAACGATCCATCATTCTCATCTCTCGCTATTGCATACCCCATTTCCTTCTCCACCAGCAGCCTGGCAATAATCCCCTGGTCCGCCAAGAAAGGAAGCAAAATCAGCTTTTTCTCAAATTTCACGGCCTCCACCACCGAGCTCCATCCTGAGTGAGTCAAGAACCCTCCCACCGAGTCGTGACTCAGTATCTTCAGCTGAGGTGCCCAGCTTGTACATATCACCCCGCGCCCTCTCGTCCTCTCTTCGAACCCTTCTGGCAGCTTCGTCACTTCCGCATCCGCGGAGCCGCGTTGTTTCCTGTAAACCCAGAAGAATGGTAGCTGGGAAAGCTCTAACCCCAGAGCTATCTCTACCACTTCTTCCTGATTGGGCTTTGTTTCGCTCCCAAAAGCTACGTACACTACTGAACCTGAGACCACCCAGCACAGAATAAATATGTATCGTATAACCAAATAACCAAATTATGTAAAGAAAATCTCAATTTAATTAAATTTCCAAATTAAAATCAAACCTTTTTCTTGCTTGTCTAGCCATTCCTTGATTTCAAGCCAAGCTGCTTTCTTGTCATCGTCTTCCTCATCATCATAAGCAGTGGTGGGCAGTAACCCAACCGGGATGGTGGGTTTTCCGACAACCTCTTCTGCTAATTGCAGCCACTCCGGCTCGAGTTTGTAACAGCTCCTCACAAACACAGCACTGGCGCCTTTCACGGTAACAGCGGCGCGATAAACGTCCGAAACGTTGCCACCATCGATAAAAAGGTCGTGGAACATTCGCTCTATCTCGAAATAACGAGGCATGATCGTGGTCTCAAACGGAACCCACTTGGGTTTGGACATCAAATGCTTTGCCTCGACTCGATAATCTACACCGTCGATAATTGCCGATGGAGGGCCTATGATGATGTTAAGGCAGGAAGCTGAAAATATGCTGAAATGCACGTTGGGGATGTTCAGCTTTTCCATGATAGGAACTAACCGAAACGAAGCGAAATCGTGAATTACCCAATCTGGGGAAAGTGTTTGCAGAAAAGCAGCCATGGAGTCTTGGAGCTCATCGAAGGCAATCTTGAGGTACCTCACCTTGTCATAAGGTAAGTCCAAGGTGGAGTCTGCATCTTCTGGGAGATTTTCGACTTGCGGCAAAGGTAATCCGATGAGATCTATGTTGGGTACGAGGTGTGGGTGCAATTTGGGGAGACGCTGGATATTTCTGGGAGTGGACACAAAGGAAATCTTGTTGCCTCTCTCAGCTAAGAGCTTAGCTAGCTCCAAGAATGGAATAATGTGTCCGAAGGCTAACCATGGGAGCATCACGATGTGAAGTGCACTATTCTCACTCGCCATGGCTGAGAACTGTTAAGAAATACGGAGTAAATCTTAGGAAAATGCAAAGTTACAACCTTTTTGTGATTCTCACTTCTCACTATCCTTTTAATTTACTCTAGGTGGAATCTTCACTACAAGGTGTTGAGTGGCACCTTAAGTTTATATATTTATCTATAACACGATTTAGACAAGTATATAGACAATCCTTGTACTGTGGACTAGGTACGAAGGTCATTTTCCATTTACTTTTGATAGCGAACGTTTGGTTATTAAGCTATATATTTTTAAAAATATTTTAAAGCATATGTATATGTGTTGTGTTGTAAGTTTTTGTGTTTTGTATTTTAAAATTCTATACTTTTTTTTTTTTTTTTATTTAAAAGAAGGGGGAGACCCAGGTTCAAAATTACGGACCACTGTACATGTATCGCCAAGATGGCATTCCTACTTTATCATCTTCTATACAATTTAAAATCTCATCTGGAGGGAGGTTCAGCATGTGCATGCCCGGCGGGAAGTTCCTGGAAAAGAAGGCAACTCTGTCTGCCGTGTGATTCTGCTCTCTGGGTATTGTTCTCATCTGCCAATTCTCGAGTCTGTTCAGTTCTGTTCTGCAGGCTTCCAAAAGGTTGTGCGCCACAATGCGAGGAGGTCCCCCCTCGTGGATATACTTGACTGCTTCCGCTGAATCACTCTCGATGATC